AATAAAAAATATTTTTGGATAATAAATACAAAATATAAATATTTATTTAAAAAACATCAATCATCCATCAACTCTATTTTTGATTTTTTTCAGATATTTTTATTAATAAAATTTTTGCAAAAATTTTCAAATCCTAAATAGTAATTCGAAAATATTGACAAAGAAAAAACAGAAGGAGGGGGCTCCATCATCTTGATTCCCTTCGTTCCATCATCTTCGTTCCTAACCCGATTTTAAAACTAGGATATCGTCTTTTCCCTAAACATTGTTGTGTCCAACGATGCCTATTTCTAAAATATTATCTTCAACAAGAATTTTTTTCAATTTATGTTTCTTACTCAAAACACACACATTCCTTTCATAATTAAAAACCCTCTTTGCCACACAATTAAATGTACTAAAAAATAAATTTTTGTAATTGTTGCGCCGAATTTTTTTAAAAAGATGATGAGTCAGTGTCGTCAGAAAATACCTTTTAAAACAAAAATATTTTCGTGAAAGTTTTTTTTCTTTTGTTTAATTAAAAATAAACTAATTTTAGAGAGAAATAATTAATTTAAAGCTTTTAAAGTTTAATTAATAAAACAAATAAGAAATCTCTCTTTAACAAAAAAAAAATTCTTTTAAGGATTTCAAAGAAAATCAAAATTACAGTTCATCCATTTATTTAAATTTTTTAAAATTATTTAAAAATTAAAAAAAAATTTAATAAAAATTCCTCTCTTTTATTTATTTTCTTGGAAATAAATCAAAAAATATTTGAGATGATCTTTAAATTTAAAAATAATTTTTTGATGGCTGTCACAGACATTTGATCTGATCTGAACCCGAAATATGTGAACTTTGTAGGCAAAAAATGACTCAAAAATTTTTTGTGTGGGAGGGGATTTAATTTTACGTAATTTAAATAATTTTATTAAGAATAAATATTTAATGAATTTTAAAATATTCGAAAAAAAGTCTCGAAAAGTGTTTACAAATACTGTAAATTCTCTAATAGAAGCACACGTGCTCCTATTTTTCAATCCTCTCGTGGGGTATGCTTACTTTGGAGGTTGTGCTTCTATTAGGGAATTTACGGTATATAATGTGTTATTAAAGAAATAAAAGCACATTTAGAGAAACGTTCCATGATTTTATAAAATTTAATATATTTTCAATGAATAATCCAAATTAAGATTCATGTAAATTAATTAAAGTTATTAAATTATAATTGTAAAGCATATAGCCATTTATTTCCTAATGTAATGGATAACACATCAGTCCGATCTCGTTCCCAGCCACCGAATAACCTTTTGCAGTAGCTGAAGGAGAGAGATAGCCCAGCTGCTCTACTTAATTTTTGAATTTCAGTAATTAAATAATTTATTTATTAAAAACAGAATCTTTATTTATTCCCAATTTTTATTTCGAAATTTCCAAAAATTAAAAACAAACATTTAAATATTTTAAAAAATATTTAAAATCTATTTTTGTTCAAATTCTTTCCAAAAATATATTTAATCGAAATTTGATATCTAGGGGGGATAAATTAAAAAAAAATTTCCAAGAAAAAATATTTTTGATTTTATTTTTAAAAATATTTTCTAAAAATATTTTTAAAAAGTAAAATGAGAAGGAAATAAAAATAAAAATATTTTTTAAATTAAAAAAAAATAAATAAAGTTTTTATTATTTTATTTTAGGAATATTACAAAAAATTATAAAAATTGGAAACAGGAACTGATTTAATATATTTTTTGTTGTTGTTGGGGATAATTAATTAAAGTATTTTGCTTAAAATAAATAAGTTTAACTTTTAATTTTTAAAAACTTTTGTTAACCAAATGGTTCCGTGACTTTTGCGCCGAGAACATTTGCGCCGCGACTTATGCGCCGCGACTTTTGCGCCGCGACTTATGCGCCGAGCGACTTTTGCGCCGGGGGACTTTTGCGCTGCGACTTTTGCGCCGGGCGACGTTTGCGCCGCGACTTTTGCGCCGGACGACTTTTGCGCCGCCACTATCATTAATAATTATGAAAAACTTCAGCCGGACCTCACTTTAGAAGATGTAGGATAGTTGGAGATCATCGGATATCAAGATCCGGATCCGATATCCGACCTAAAATTTTCGGCTATCCGGCCTTTTTCAGATCTGGATATCTGGACCCGACGATCCTACACTATAGTGCACCCTCTTCAGGCAGAAAAGCATGTCTGAATAGGGGTAGCAGACCAAATATCCTGATCCGAAAAAGTCAAGTTCTTTGAAAATGACCCCTCTAGGGGGTTGGTTTATTTTAACCTTCCTCTAGGGGGTCGTTTTATTAGAGGGGGCTATTGTACTTCCCGAAATATTGCACTTCCTGAAATTCCTTCAGCTCCTGGATACCATTTTTAAGGAGTACCCTATAATTAGGTTCCTCTGTAGATATTATTTTTTTAAATTATGGCGGCGCAAATGTCGCGGCGCATAAGTCGCCCGGCGCAAAAGTCGCGGCGCACAAGTCGCTCGGCGCATAAGTCGCGGCGCAAAAGTCGCGGCGCAAAAGTCCCCCGGCGCATAAGTCGCGGCGCAAAAGTCGCGGCGCAAATGTTCTCGGCGCAAAAGTCGTGATACCAACCAAATTAGTAATCTGTTGTCAATAATAGAGATCGGCACGGGAAGAGGAACCCATCTTTGAATTCTGAGTGCTACAAACGGGTGGTCCCATTTCCGTGTGATTGCCCGGGAACTTTCCCGGGAACTTTGCCGTTCTCTTGTCGATATTCTTCCTCCTCGAATATTTTGTTATTTTTAGGTTTACAAGTTTGGACTTTAAAAATAAAAAAAATAGAGGAGATTAATTTAGGTAGTTAGGTTTATTGTTCTAAACGTAATTCTTTTTTCTTTCCTTTTTTGTAAATTTAACGAAACATGACGTTTATAATCATTAAAAGACAAAATAAATATTTTTTAAAAGTTTTCTTAAAAAATTTTAATTAAAAAAAACACCAACCCCCGCACCTATTTATTTTTTAAAATTCAATAAAAACCAAACAAATTTTAAAAGAAAATTAACAGAGAGAGAGAGAATATTTTTCTTTCCAAAAAAATATTTAAATATAAATTAAAAAACACGAGAAAACCAATTTGTTTTGCACGAGTTTATCTCTACTATTTTTAAATGACCACAATCACTTGCCCCCCCCCCTTCCCCTCCTTTTTTTCTTTTAAAGAAATTCGACGAAAACAGGCGTAATAAAAAAATTTAAATTAAAATAGTAAAATATTTTTTAATGTTTTTGTTTCGTCATCAATTTTTTGTTAAAGAAAACAATTAACCTTAAATTAGAAAAAAAGAAGGGAGGGGGGAGGTAATTTTAAAATATTTTCTTTTAATTTCCTGTGGTTTTTGAAAATTAATTTAAGAAAAAATAAAAAGCACCATTAACAATACTCCCACTCCTCCTCCCTCCCTCCAATTTAAGGTATACCCCAGGGTGACCCTTGGGGCATGACCTCTCAAAAGGAGGAATAAAATGGTCGAAATTGGCTTAAGATGGGACAAAAAAGTGGGCATTATTGTAAAAACTTAAAAATAGTTAAAATTTCATATTTTAAACTATTCTTAACGCAAATCAGGATCAGAAACAATAAGATAATATCCCTGAAAGAAATTAAACTAAGGATTTTTTCCGGATTTTTCAAAGAGGCAACGCTATAACAAGTCTGATATTGGGATCCATCTACTATACCTCTTTTATCTCTTTTTGTAAGGTCAAGAAGCCAGATTTCTTCCTTTTTTCCTAAAGGTGGTAAAAGGGTCACCCTGGTATACTCAAAAGATTTTCTTTTTCATAATTCAACTGCTTTACGTCTTCCACTTATTTTTTAAGTAACTCAAAGAACATTTAATAATTTTAATTAAACTTTTATTTATTTTTAGAAACAATTAAAAATAAATTCCAAAAATTCTATTTTTATTTTGAAATTCCTTTATTTTTTAAATTAAAAATGTACTCTAAACAAACAAACTTCACTTTTTCTTTTTTATAAAAAATTTTCTTGCAAAAATTTTATTCTATTTTAAGTATTAAAATAAAAAAAAATTATTTTTAGATATTTTTTATAAAAATAATTTTTAGAATTTAAATTTGGAAAGAAAAATAAAATAATTTTTAAAAAGGAGAATTTATAGGTAGTGATCGATGTTTGATTATTTTAGTATTTTTTATAATTAAATTAATTATTTGACCAATAAATACACACAAAAAAAACTCTTTTTAATACTAAATATAAATAAATATCTTTCCATCTAATTTAGTATAAAAATTAAATTAAAAAAACGTGAGAATTTTTAGCAACAAATAATGAGGAAGTTTTTTTAAATGATTGATTTTAAAAAATTACACATTAATTTAAAACATTTTTTAGTTAATTTGCAAATGATTTTTGATTTTATTAAAAGAAAAAAAAATAAATATAAAGTTGAGTAAATGTGGGCCTTTTACAGGGATTGAAATTAAATTGAAGATAAAAATTGTGTTGACGGTTAGTTATTGAACAAAAAGACCGGTGTTTTTGATCCTGACATTATTCGAATATCCTTTAACAAACTAGAATATTCAAAGTATTAGGACTTTCGTGATTTGCGTCCCATTCAAATACTTCTCTTATCACGAAAAATTCTCTAAATTCGGCATCTTTTTCATACTTGGGCCGATATGATCAGATCATTCTAAAAAATTTGCGAGAGATTACTTGTTTATCACATGTAACTTTTTGTAAAATGTTTAGATCAGCTCGATTCAGTTATAAAAAAGACGTCATAGAATGATAGAAATTATTCGAATCGCTCAAAAATCAAGAATAATTCTATTTTGGTACGGTAGGCTGTTCTGCAACGTCGCTAACGAGGCGATTGAGTAGCCGTTTCAGTGTAGTCTGTTAAGAGTACGGAATTCGTGATTTTTTTGTATAATTTTTTTAGAATTTTCAAAGGAAGGGTTGAACGTTGCGTAACCCGTCCAAATCCTGTTCAAAACATCCATCTAAAAATTTTTAATTTCAGCAAAATTCGCTTTTCACAACTATTCAAGGTTTTAAAAATGGCCGAGAAGAAAGTTGGGAAGGATTTATTGAAAAAAACAAAATTGGGTATTGATGTTAAAAAGGAAGAAAATTATTCTGAATGGTATTCTCAGGTATTTTTAAAAAGAGGAAATTTAATTTTTTTTCAATTTCTAAAGGTAATAACAAAAGCAGAAATGATTGAATATTATGACGTTTCTGGTTGTTATGTTCTTCGTCCTTGGTCTTATAGTATTTGGGAATTTATTCAAAATTTTTTTGATGCCGAAATTAAAAAATTGGGAGTTAAAAATTGTTATTTTCCAATGTTTGTTTCCCAAGCTGCTTTGGAACGGGAAAAGACCCACGTCTCCGATTTTGCTCCAGAAGTTGCTTGGGTAACGAAAGCTGGGGACACAGAAATGGCTGAACCTATAGCCATACGTCCAACAAGTGAAACAGTAATGTATCCAAGCTTTGCTAAATGGTGTCAGTCACATCGAGATTTGCCTATAAAATTAAATCAGTGGTGTAATGTTGTGGTAAGAATTGAATGAAATTGAGAAAAAATAATTTTTTTATTTTCAGCGTTGGGAATTCAAGCATCCAACCCCGTTTTTACGTTCAAGAGAATTTCTTTGGCAAGAGGGTTAGTTTTAAATTTAAAACAGAATTTAGGCACTTGTGAAAATGGGTACAATTCTTGATAAATATACAACAAATAGTCCTATGATTGGCTGAATGTTGAGGAAAAAACTAAGAGAAATGGGGAAAATCAGCAAAAATATCTTCAAAAATTGTACCCCTTTGCAAGTAGCTAAAATTAAAAATTTTTAGGACATACTGCTTATGAAGCCCCTGCTGAAGCAGAAGAGGAAGTTCTTACAATTTTGGATCTTTATTCTCGTATTTATACTGACTTATTGGCCATCCCCGTCGTTAAAGGAAGAAAAACGGAAAAAGAAAAATTTGCGGGAGGTGATTTTACTACAACTGTGGAAGCTTATGTTCCAGTTAATGGAAGAGGAATTCAAGTATCTTTTAAATGTAGAATTGAGTAAAAAATTTTTTTAATTTCAGGGAGGCACTTCCCATCATTTGGGACAAAATTTCTCCAAAATGTTTAATATAAGTTTTGAACATCCTGACAAGCCTGGACAACGAGAATTTGCTTGGCAAAATAGTTGGGGGCTTTCTACTCGAACTATTGGGGCTATGGTTATGATACATGGGGATGATGGTGGTTTGGTTTTGCCGCCACGCGTAGCTTTAATTCAGGTTTTTTAAAATAGACTTTCGTGTTTACCTTTATACCTCTAAAAAGTCCAAAAGTTTTATCCGAAAGTTATCTATCAGAGATAATCATCTTACGCGACTTGCGGATAAAACTTGTGGATTTTCGGACGAATATTTTATTTAAAAAACAGATAGTTCTAGTCCCAGTTGGAATTACTGTCAAAACTTCTGCAGAAGACAAACAAAAACTTCTTGAGAAAGTAAAAGAAATTTCTGAAGAATTGAAAAGTTCTGGAAAGCTACGTATTGAGTGCGATTTAAGAGACAATGTATAATTAATTTATATTTTTTTTTATTTTTCTTGTTTTTAAGGTAACCCCAGGTTGGAAATTTAATCATTGGGAGATAAAAGGAGTTCCAATTCGACTGGAAATTGGTCCAAGGGATTTGGCTAAAGAACAAGCGCTTGCAGTTATTCGATATACAGGAGAGAAAAGACCTGTTGAATTGGCTAATTTATCTGAGACTTTGAAAGATTTACTTGAAAAAATTCAGCAGGATATGTACGAAAGGTTTGTAAAAAGATTTTTCTCAAAAGTTTCTTTCTCATTTCTAGAAATGAAAAAATTAGAGATGAGCATATGAAAATATGTTTAGATTGGAATGAATTTTTGCCGTTGTTAAACCAAAAAATGATTTTACTTTCTCCATTTTGTGGTCGTCCTCAATGTGAAACATTAATTAAAGAACAAAGTACTAGAGAAGAACAAGGAGAACAGGTATGTTTTTTTTTACGGAAGTATTTTTTAAATTTAATTTTTAGGCTGGGACTTCTCTTATGGGAGCAAAAACTTTATGTATTCCATTGGATCAACCAAAGGATGTTCCCCTTTCAGAAAAATGTATTCAACCAGAATGTAATGAGAAAGCTAAATTTTTTGCTTTATTTGGTCGTAGTTATTGAAGAAAAGAGAATTGCATTTTTACATATTGAAGTGATATTGAGGATATTAAAATAAATTGGGAATAATACTTTAATATATTGTTGAAAAGAGTAAGTATGATTGGAATAGATTTTTGATTAAAAAACTAGAAATTCAGAACATTCATCCTCCCCCCCCCCCAATGAATTATTTCTTAACTTGATTAATATCTAAAAGAAGTGATTAGACTGAAATAACCTTCAAGAAGGCCAAATTTCCATCGCTTTTTCCTGGCAATATTTCAATTAATTACTAGGTCGTTTCTTTTAAGTCTAGTCCTATTACTAAGTCCTAATAATATATTTACTCTCTCAATAAATATATTCCTATCATTTTTTGTTTTTAATTTATAATTGTTGTTAATAAATGTTCGGGTTTAATTTGAAAATAATTTTTAAAAAATTTTTTTATTTAAATATTTAAAAAAAACATTTTTTAATTGTTTAAAAGTTTTAGAATTGTTTAAATAATGAAAGAAAAAATAGAATTTAATGATTTGTTAGTTAATATTAAATCGACCAGGTTTATTTTGTATAAATTATAAAAAAAATTTTTTTATTAAGAAATGTTAATGAAGTTAAACGAAGATTAGAAAGAGAAGAAAAACATGTAGAGAACCAGAAACAACGTTGGGAAGAAAAAAAAGAGATAAGAAGATTGCCATTTGAAGATAATGACGAAGCATTAGAGTTGGAAATAGCTGTGGAAGAGCAAAAAAGATATCCGTTAAATAAAAGGGTTTTGGATGCTCCGTTACATAGACAGGCATTGCAGAGAATTGAAGGGAAATTGGCTTATAGACAAACAAAGTATGTTTTCTTTAATTTAACCTTTTCATTAGCCTAATTTGAATGGCTAATACTTTGGCTTACATATTCAGAGTATATTTAGCAACTTTTTCGATCTCGCCTGATATATGGAAACCCAACAGTTGTATATTAGGGATATAGCCGACATAAAAATTAAATTCCCGATTTCGGGAATTGGGTTGGCTAGATCCCCAAAATTCCTCCTGGAGACAAAAATTCTTATCATTCCAGTAAAAAAATCCAAAAAATTGGAGAATTGAGATATTCTCTTAAAAGCTATGCTGCTATGAATAAATATTTAATTTCCGATTACTTTTAGAAATGAATTACGTGAATGGCAACCAATCGTGGATGAATTGCGTGTTGCCGAACAAATTCACTTTCCTCAGGATGAATTATTAGACAATCCTTTAAAAGTACAATCAGCTGAGGAAAGGGCTAAAACATTTACGGTTTTATAAATTTTTCCTAAAAATATTTTTAATTTATTTTTAGCCACGAACAGAGTTTGAACAAAAAATTATGGAAGTTCTTGGGAAGAGTAAATCAAATATTAAAAATGATGAAGAATTTTCACAGGCAGAAAAAGAAATATTAAAAGCAATGGATGTTAGAGAGGTTTTTAATTACTTAAAGTATAATGTTTGATTTTGGTACCTCAGCGATGCCATGACTAGATCAGGCTTTTATGAGCTTGGTTAGTTAAATCCCGAGGCAGTTGGGGTGTACTTTCAATTATTTGCTTTGCCTCCAAATTTCCGCCCTTTTAATAGTAAGAAAAAATTCGTATATAATTTAGGCTAGAAAGAAGTGTCAAGAAATGCGAAAAATGCGAGCATTGATGAGCTTTCATTCTGCAAAATTAAAAAGACAATCTAAAATTAAAAGCAAACAGTTTGAATTTTTTTAATTATTTAAAATCTTTTAATATTTTTTTTAGATTTCATAGAATTCAAAAACGACAAAAACGTAAAGATTTAATAAAGGAAGTAGAGACGCTAATTGTTAAGGATCCAAAAAGAGCTGCTGAGAAAGTAGATGAATTAGAAAAGGATAGGGCATTTGAACGTGCTACTTTAAAACATAGAGGAACAAATAAATGGACAAAACAGGTTAATCTTTAGAAATTTATTTGAATTTTGGATTAGCATGTTTTTCTTGGAGACTTTTGTCTTATAGATTATTGATATCGCCTTTAAATTGTTTATGTAGTCGGACCTCATTTATTTTTTAAGAATTTGGTTGACCCCCACTGGAGTTGCATAAAGATAACAAAATTTAGGAGACACCTCATTTAAAATACGATTTTTCGCCACAGGGATTCGACTATTCAACGTAGATTAGAGGCTAGTTAGTATAGGCCTCGTAGATCAGGGAACAACTACAATTACACTAATAAAATTTCGATCCCTGTATGTCATAATTTTTTTGATTTTGTTTTAAACTTTTTTTTACTAGATTTTCAATTTTAAGATCAGAAAATTTGCCTCTCGCAACCCAGAACTTCGCAAAGTAATTGGAGAACAACTACGATTAGGGAAATCATTAAAGGAACGTCATGGAGCTGAAGGAAATGAAAGCGACGATGAAAGTGGGGGTGAAGAAGGAATTGAAGAAAATACAGAAGAAATAAAACAACAAAAAATTATTTCAGCAGCAGTTGATAAAGTTTTTGTTTCTGATAATTCTTCAAAAGAAATGATAAATTTAAATGTTGATAGTGAAAATCCCTTTTATAGAAGCGCTTTACAAAATATTAAAAGAGAAAGGAAAATAGCAGAAAAAAGAAAACAACAAAGAGGAATTGAAGAAATGAAAGGGGAAAAATCATTAAAAATTCAAGAAGAATCTAAAAAAGAAGGGGAAATTGGAAACAAAGAAGAAAAACCAGAATTTTTAGATGTAAGTTATACTTTTAAAAGTTGAGACATCTAGCAAAATTTTAAAAAATTTTAGTTAAATGTCAAAAAAATAATACAAATCCCACAAGAATTGATGAATGAAACAGGAGAGATAGAAGGTTAAATTTAATCTAGAAGATTCGAAGAAAAAATATTTTGTATTTAGATGCACAATATGCTTTTTTGGCAGAAGCCTATGAAGAAGATGATGTTCTTGGTAATGAATTTATGACAAGGAAACAGCGGGTAGAAGAGGAGGAAAAGCCAAAACAAGGAAATAGTAGATATGAATTGATGCGTGGATGGGGGTCATGGACTGGACCTGGAATTTCAGAAGAAAAAGAAACTGAAAGAATGGATAGGTATTTTTTAAAATATTTTTGGTAATAGTTTGTAGTTCAACATCCTTTTTTCTCACCTCCATTTTGTAGCGAGAATATTTTGGATTTGATATTGTTTGGGTTTGGGGCTTACGGAATCTGTGTATAATCTGTTGGCCATTTCTTTACCTTATTCTGTCTGTTATACACTAATTTCAAAACAAAAGGTCGAATGGCCAACAGATAGTCATAAGCACTAGTTTGTACAGACCTAGAATTCAAACTCAAAGTAAAGTAAAAGTAACAAAAGTAACTAGTACCTATGATTAAACGAAAATGAAAAAATGGGAATGAACTATTGCTATATTTTCTTTTCAAATTAAAATTTTATTAAAAAAGAATTCTTGGCAAAGAATTAGTTCCGAAAAAGAAAAAGCAGCAAAGAAAAGATGCTAAAAAAAGAGGTCTTATAATCCGTGAACAAGTATCAGAATCCATACAAAAATTACAACCAAGGGATGTTCCATTTCCTTTCACTAGAATTCAAGATTTTGAGGCTTTTGTACAACAACCACTTGGGAAAGAATGGAATACTCCGATTGCTCATAATCAATTAATTCAACCAACAGTACATACAAAGGCATTTTTTATATTTTTATGTTACATTTTTAAGCCAAAATTTAACCAATTTCATAGAAATTTAAAAACCTATAATTTCCTTAATGTGTCCCAACCAAAATAAGCATGTATTTACTAAAAGTCCACCGGATTTTAAAAGTAAGATTAATCGAAGATCCCCCTCCCTTGCACTCCCACTTTTTTTATTAAACTTAATTTTTTTGATATTCCAGGCTGGCCGTATAATTAGACCTTTGGATAAAAAGCTAAAAGAAGAGAGGAAAGATTTTCTAGAAGATATTGATGAATAATCTTGAAATATTGTTAAATTTGTTTTTATTACAAATTAAAATCTTATTTTATCTAAAATATTTTTTATACATTTTATTCTCGTTTTTAAAAAATGAGATCTAAATAAACACGGCATTATTTCAAAAACGGCGATATAGGATGACAAATACAAAAAACCCTGCTTGCCTAAAATATAAGACACAAAATAATGTCCGGGAATTGGACTAATAGTAATAATTAGAGCATCCTACTATCTAATAAAATATATTAAGCTCGAGTCTTCTTTTTAATCTCAAAAATATTTCTTAAAAACTAGTAGGAAAAACGCGAGCTTAAGATTACAATAAATGCATGTTTATATAATAAATTCGTAGATAGAATAATATGAAAAAATAAAATCTCACAAATTAAATGCTTTTTTAAAATACCCCTAAATGCTAAAATAATTATTTTTGGTACTAAAATATGAAATAAGTTTCAAAAAGAAAGTTTTACAAACATTTTTAATAACCAGAAAATTTTTTGAACTTATCACATATTTTAATTTGTATTTATATTTACATCGAATCGTATTTATTGCGTTGTTATATATTTTTAATTATTTTTGGGTATAAATGTAGGCGTGAATTTAGTGGTGCAACATTTTTAGAAATAGATAACCTTATTTTTAGGCTGTCATTTTTTGTTTTCCCTCTTCAACAAGCGTTTCATCATTTTCTCCTTCTTTAGTATCCTCTGAACCGTTTGATAACAATCCTACTGTTGCATCGCTATTTGTACGACGGTGTCGACGGTATTCATTCTAAAATTATTATTTTGTTTAAATACTAGTTAGATTATTCCCATGCTCTAAAGCTGCTAAATAACTTTTTCGAAACTCTCCTCCCCTGACTATGCTTCCCAATAAAATTTTCCTTCATACAGTCCTTTTAAACAGTCGTTCGAAGGCCTCCCGAAGTTCCAATCTCATAAAATACCCAAAGTTTAGAAATGATTAATATACCATTCTTTTACATCCATTTCCTTGAACTTGAGCACCATTTCCAGGCGTTAAAGTTTTATCCAAATAATTATTAGATTCATTCATTTCAAAAGATAATTGTCTAATTCCATTTTCATTTCTTTTTCCTTTTAATTTATTATCAACCAAATCATTAATTTCTTCCATATTTCCACTTTGTTGTTGCTGAGGAGAGACAGGCACATAAAAATTGGCAATTGAAGGATTCTGTCCAGTGACAGACACAACATCTGGTTGAACACCGTCAATTGCTATACTAGCACCAGAAGCATCAACTCTGGTTATTATATTTAAAAATATTATAAAAATACAGTCAGATCCTAATATAAGATACTTATTTAAGTCTGTGTATTCTTTATATGTATCAAAAATAGGAGGCTATCGCTTAGGTTAGCAAATTAAAAAAACATCTTAAATTGAGGTTATGTCGTTGGGTGTATCTTATAGCAAGGTTTGACTGTCTTATAAAAATTTACCTATTTCTAGTCATAAGTGTTCCTCTATACATTGCCAAATATGTTTGTGAAGAAATTTCCAAATATGTACATTCACTAAAATTTAAACGTTAAAAATGAAAAAAATATCCAAAACCTTCTTATAACGAGTGAAAAGTCTGGAAGAAATTTTATTCTTTTTGCAACATCTTGTGACGTAGAATCAACAAATTGTTGTTGACTGCCTGTTGAAAGAACTTAAAAATAAAAATTACTGCAATATATTTTCAAATTTTATATTTCAAACCAGAGAGAACACCCGGTAAAGAAGGACGATTTCCAGCATTATCTACTTTGTCAAGTTCAGAAATAGCACTGGGCACAGCTTTGACTTGACCTAGCATATTATTTGTGCTATTAGCTACAGAATCAATGCTTTGTCGTTGTGGATCGATTGATTGAATTAAATCATCAAATTGAGTAAGTATTTCAGTTCCAAAATATTGCCATGGGCCAACTTCAAAATTCATCGAATTCTTTTTTAAAAATTATTTTTCAAAAATTAAATTTTTTAAAACGTCGGAACTCGTTGTAAGATACTTCTTTAAAGTTTGGGGTATTCTAAGGGGAATCGTTTAAATTTAGATTCTTCTCAAATTCAGGTGTATCTGACAATTAAAGTAAGTGTATCTTAAAACGAGTTCTAACTGTAGTTTAATAAAAAACCTGTCCAATTGTAATTACAGCTCGCCCCTCCAAAATAAGAATGAATTTATCAGAGAGCTGTTTTTTAGTATATAATTTTGCCTTTCGAGGTAATGCAGAAGTTAAAGCATCATTAATATCAGTTAAGTGAGAGACTTCGACTTTATGTACATGATTACGAATAACTCTCTCTAATATTGGTTGGGCTATTCGATCTCGACTGAATGCTTTGAAATTACCCTCCAAAAACTTAAAAATTATGTTTATTTTTAGAATAATTTAAAAAGGATGTATTCAATGGGAGAGGGTTGGAAGACTGTTCTTTTATAGATAATACAAGATACTATTTACTCAAGTAGTTATTTAGGAGCCTGATATTCATAGCTTTTTTTAAAAAATTAACCTGTATTGTAACAACTTGCATTTGAAGAGATATTTGACAAGCACTTCCCTCATCATTGAACAAATGCATAAAATGAAGCTAAAAAAAAGTAATTAAAAGTTTTTATATAAAATTTAAAAGTCAAACATTATTTTTCTTTAATTTAGTTCTGTGTACATTATCTGTGACCATATCAGTTTCATCAACAATTTCAGCCTGTAAAATTTCTTCAACAATATCCTTAACAAAAAAATTTTATTCCTTTGTTACAATAACTTCCTTACTTCTAGCGTAACTAAACCAACTAATTCATATTTTGATTCTTTTTCTCCTCCAGGAGCTAAACGGTCAACTAAAGCCATGTGATATTCACCTTTTTTGAATTCTTCAAGCATTGTTCTAAGAGGGGTATTTTCAGGTACACGACGAACAGGATGTCGATAATAATCACAAACTGTTTTTACCTTAAATTATTTTTTAAAATAAATTTATAAAAAATAATTTTTAACCAAAAAATTATCATCAGGATCCAACATTGCAAGATCTTTAACGAAAAGAAGTGACACAACATTGTCTCTTGCATTATCATATACAGGGATTCTAGTGTAGCCGGAATGGACAATTTGAGCAACAATCTTTGCATTTAGAACCGTATTAATTGGAATCATAAAAACATCCTAAAATATTAAAAAAATAATAAATTGACAATGCGAGACATTGACAAGGTCAACAAATTGAGATTTTAATGTAAAAGGGATATAGATTTAGTAAAAACAAAACAAATGAAAAATTGCTATATGGAAGGAGAAGAGGGAATTATAGTTCGAGAAAATGTGCCATAATATTAATTTGTAATTTAAGAATATTATTTTCAAATTTTAAAGTCACTTACATCAATTTTTGTCATTACATCTTTCACTGTTTTATCACCCATTTCAAAAGCACCAATTGCAATTTTTAACTCCTCGGCTGGACCTATTGCATTTTTAGTACTCAATTTAATTAATTCCATAAGACGTTTTCTATCATAAGAAACAACTTCATCGCCCAATAAATGATCGAGCACTTTACTTATTGGGTAGGCCAACTAATTTTTAGACAATAAAATTATAAAAAATCAGAAAAAAAACTTACAGGAAAAGTAAGCACCATAAAAAATCTGGTAACCCAAATTGTGTGAGCACCAACGGCAAGTCCCTTCTTGACACACAGAGCCTGTGGGAATATCTCACCAAAGACAACTATGCCAGCCGAAGAAATGGCCAAAGCCACATATCCACTTGTAAGGTCATCAAAAAGAATGGAAATTGCTGAATTTACACAAACATTTCCAATTAGGAGTGAGCAAAGTAATTGATTGCCAGATTTCCTGACTGGCAAAATCATTTGGGCATATTTTCTTTCTTTCGAAGAGCCTAAAAATTTAATTTCAAAATTAATTTTTTAAAGTTTAGAGTTTTACCAGAATTCGAAATGAGTGTAAGTTCTTGGGGTGTAAGTGACATTAATCCAAGGTTTAAGCCAGAGAAAAGACCAGAAAGCACTAACAAGGCAGCAACAATTGAAATTTGAACAAACATTGGAAAATAGTACTGACGAGGTGGCATATCAGTTGAAACTGAACAACGAAGATCATCAACCTTGATAAAAAAGGTAAAAATTTATTTAACGCTAAAAATTTATTTTGAAGAAATACCAAATAGAAAGGAAGGTCAAAAGCGTCATCAGCAGCCTTTTGTTTAAGACAAAGTTTATACGTGGACTTGGATCTGAAAATTAATAAGTATTTTCTTGTGTTTTCAATTCTTTCACTAAAAATTAAAGTAAAAAAACAAACTCAGAAAATTTGTAAATAATGACAATTCGTCTATCTGTCTGAATGCTAAAATCTTCTTGGACAATATTCAACACAGTTTCTGAGCAGTTCTGACTAAGTGTAAATCCAACTAAAACAATTTCATCCAAAAACGTTCCAAAAAGAACAACTCTAACTTCCGTATCAGGGGCAACAATACTCAGTCCTTTGTCACTAAAAAGTTGGCAATTATTCTATTACTTTCAAGATAATTAATTAAATCATACGTATATCCAATAAAGTCTGGTTCGCCAGATTTCATTGGCTCAATTCTAATTCCTGATAGAAGCGTTTTCTTATCTTTTGTGACAAATTCTTGTTTAACAACCTAAAAAATAAATTTATAAAAATAAAAAAATATAAAATAAACCGTTGAGGGTAATTGTATGTGCGGCAATTGTTTTTGATGAAGGCTAAAGTTGTCATTTTTTGTATTAAAATTTGGAATATTTTCTATTGTTGTGTCTGTTAAATTTGTTTTGTAAAAATTATCTCCATTTGGCAAAGAAAAAACAGAATTAACACTCAGCAGAAATAAAATATAAGATGTGAAAGGGAAGGCTGCTGACAGTGTTGTTGGTGCTAGTACTGCTGCTCCATTTTGCCTTCTCAAGTTTCGCATTCGGTGAAATAAACAAATAAAAATAATAAGGGCCTCCGCAAATTAATAAATGCACAATAAAAGTATTTTAGCTAAAAAAGAAAGTAATTAACAATTCCAGATTAATCTTTAAACTTGAAAAAACATCTGCTGATAAAAAACTTCCCTAGAAAGTTGTAACTTTTTAAAGGATCATTTGATAACCCTGTTAGGAATAATGAAAAACATTCAACTCCTTTGGCTGACTTTGGCTGACAAAATCGTTGTGGAAGGTACTGGGACTGAAACGTCGGAACTTTAACGTCCCTTACTCTAAATTAATTTTGGCGTCGGTTAAGGACGATTCAGTATCGCCGATTCAGTATCCGCCGATTCAGTATATGGCCATAACTTTCCTGATATTCGACCGATTTGAATAATTCTCATATCATTCGAAAGGTCTCGTGATTCCACATCTTTTTCATAATTGGCCCGATATGATCTGATGATCACAAAAAAAGTTACAGCGTGAAAACCGATTTTTTATGCCTGTGACGTCGTTTATCAGTGATAACTTTTTGTAGAGTGATCAGATCAGGTCAGTCCAATTATAGAAAAGATGCAGCACCCCGAGGCCTATCAAATCATATATAATAATTCCTACAATATTGCTCGTGCAAAAAGTTATGGCCAAAAAGCCCAAATACTGAATCGGCCAATACTGAATCGGCGATACTGAATTGGCGAAACTGAATCGGCGATACTGAATCGTCCCCTACCCATTTTGGCGTTTATATTCTGGCGTTCTATTATTAAATCGCATAAAATGTCATTGACAAAATGGTCAAGAAAGATATTAGACAAAATGGTACGTGCCCCTTTGAAAAACCTACCATTTTGCCTATTTTAACTGAAGTATCATTTCATCTAATAATTCTTTTTTTTTCATCTCTTATTTTTAATCTCATCATTTTTATATTTTTTACGGCAATCCCGGAGAATTGGGGTCCCTGCGAAAAAAAAGTTTAAAAATAAGAAAAAGGATTTTTCTAGGGTAAAAAAATATGCTGATTACGAATCCGAGCTCAGATTTCGAAAAAGTCGAATCCCGAACCCGAATTCGGACTTTTGATCCCGAACAGGATTTTTGACCCCTAACATTATCAGACATTGTACAAAATGGCCAGTCTTTCAATAGAATCATAGAACTCATCGAGCTGCATCGAATGACACCAAAATCAATGAAATCCGACCGGATTGAACCGAGATACAGACCCCTAAATATTGAAAAACCACATGGTTGATTTTTTGGAGTAAAAAAAGTTTTTACAAATGATACCTCATTCCTGAATCGAATGATGCCAAAATTACAATGATTGATCAAGTTTTGACAAAGTTATGACATAAGTCGCCGACTCCTACAGTACTCCCATAGGTATACTTTAATTCATAACTTTGTCTAAACTTGTCCAATCACGTTAATTTTGGTGTCATTCGATGCAGCTCGACGAGCTCTTTCGAACGAGCTATCATTTGCATATTCGAAATTCGGGTTCAGGGTTCGAAATTTGGTTCGGGTTCGGGATTCGACTTTTTCAAAATCTGAGCTCGGATTCATAATCAGCATATTTTTTTACCCTAGAAAAATCCTTTTTCTTATTTTTAAACTTTTTTTTCGCAGGGACCCCAATTCTCCGGGATTGCCTTTTTTACATTTTATCTCTTTAATAGACGTAAATCTTTTATTTTTCAAAACTTAAAGATGGGATCGCAAAAAGTAGAAAAATATTTACATGACAAATCAATTTCTTTGAATGATACAAATATTGCTGAACAATTTCAAAAGCTTGAATCCTTTTATATAAACAAGTTTGTTTTTATTCAATTGGCTATTTTTAAAATTTTAGGCTTTGGAATCAATTATCCGAACTTGCTTATCAATTGGTTAGTGACAGTAATTTTGTTTCGGCAATTGATTTGAATGAATTTTATGATGTTTTTTAAATTTTTCTTTAAAAAAATTATTTTTATTTTTAGTCTTTTATCAAGGATTTTGAACATCGTATTCATCCTTTAAAATTGATTCAATTAATTATTCCGATTGCTGAAAATAAATTTAAGAAAGAAGGTATGATTTAATAAATATATTTAATTCTTTTTTTTCAAATTTTAGAAAAACAAGCAGCATTCGATTTTTTAAAGAAATTTGAGAATGTTGTCAAAAACGATGCAAGAGCTATGACTCGTCTTATTTCTGGCGAAATTCATCTTTATTTGCTTGATTTGAATGAGAATGGACAATGCAAAGAAATGGATTTAGTCAGGGTAGAATTTTATTGAAAATAATTTTTAAAGAATTTAATTGAAATCTTTTTAAACAAATTTTAGAATATGATTGGAGAAACAGAAGAGCGCTTAAATCGTCTCTTGGAAGTTGGCCCTGTGCACACTGCTTTTTATAAGGTATTTTTTTATTTCTTTGAAAAAAGTCTTACATTTAGGTCTCCGCTGCCTACCAACGTCAAGTCGGTGATTATGCAGCTTATTATGTTGAAGCTCTTCGCTATTTGGGATGTGAGGATTTGGAAAATCTGAAAATGTCAGAAAGGGAAGAATATGCTCTTTTGCTTTGTGTTGCTGCACTTTTAGGTGAAGGGGTTTATAATTTTGGTGAATTGCTGGCCCATCCCATTTTGGAAGCACTTATGGGAGGTCCAAAGGAATGGATTGTTAATGCCTTATATGCTCTAAATGCTGGAGATTGGAATGAGTTTGATAAGGTTTTTGTTAAATATTTTTAAAAATGTTGGATGAGGTTTATTTTAAATTAAGTTTAAAGGAATGTAAGATTTTTGTTAAGGCAGCCAAAAAATTTTAATTCTCATTATATATATTTTTTATAGTTTAAAGGGAAATTGCAAGATGAAGCTGTTGACATCTCGGCAAATATGAAATTAATTGAAGAAAAATTACGTTTGCTTTGCCTTATGGAGGTTACTAAAAAATATTTTTTAATTAAAAAAATTTAAAGATGGCAGCTCGTCACCCTCCAAAGCAAAGAAATCTTTCTTTTGCAAACATCGCAAAAACGGCACATTTGGAAGAAGATCAAGTTGAATTGCTTGTTATGAAGGCTTTGGCTAATGACTTAATTAAAGGGCATATTGATCAGGTTTAGAAATACAGGCAAACCTTGCTTTTAGCTAATCCTTTAAGTTGAAAACTTGTAATGAGGAGGACTTTAAATAGGAGTTATCGCTTAAAGAGATTTCCCATTCTTGGGTCAACTAAACTAAAAACGTATCTAAAATTAAACTTTCTGGTTTTGATGATATCTAAAATCGATGATTGCCTGTATTTAAGAAAATAATTATTTTTATTTTTAAAATTTAGATAAGCCAAATTGTCAATATTACTTGGGTACAACCGCGAGCACTTTCTTCTGAACAGGTTTTAAATTAATAATTTTTTAAACTTTGTTTTATTTAAAGATAACTGCTATTGAGACACGACTGAATGAATGGCGTATTGAAGTTAATAAAAAGGAGAAATTGATGGAGGAAAATGCTAGTGACATTATTATTGCTTGTAAATGATTATATTTGATGTTATTCTTTCCTTTTTTTTATTAAAATTTATTTTATATTGTTAATTTAAATAATTATTGTTTATTTAACAATAAATTCCTTGGAATTAAAACAAAAAATTTTTTTAGTTTCGTTTCTAATAAAATTAAGGAAGTCTTGTTAGATGAACCCAAATACCTATAATTCGCCATTTTCTGAGCGTTGGTGTCGTAACAGTCCACTTCTAAATATCTTCTCTGAACAAACAAAGGTTTGTAAAAATTAATATGAGATAAAAATTTTTAACATGTAATTGTTGTTAAATAACCTATAGATTCATAAATAATTCGATAGATTTCTACTTGGCGTCAGTTATGGATTTGGTTAGCTGAAACACAACAAGAACTTGGATTGGCATACATAACAAATGAAAAGATTGATGAATTAAAAGCACAACAAAACAATATTGATTGGGATTTTGCCCGTAAAAAAGAATCAGAGTTAAAGCATGATGTTATGGCACATATACACACTTATAGTAAAGTATAATTTTTCTAATTAAAATTTATTTCAATAGTATTTTTAAGTGTTGTCCAAATGCTGCTGGAATAATTCATTTGGGGGCAACTTCATGTTTTGTACAAGATAACGCTGATTTAATTGCTCAATGCAAAGCTTTTGATTATATTATTGGAAGGTATTTACATTAATTTTAATAGTCGAGCATTATTTTTAAGATTCTTTAGGGCTGAAGGAATAACTTAAAATACGGCGTATCACTTGAATCGAAAAACGATAAATTTTTAAGAACCTTGCTTAAAATTAACAATTCGAAAAGACATTTAATTAAGTCCGATTGCTTTGATTTTGATATCTTCCGACTAATCTCGATTTTATTTTTAGGTTGGCTATTTGTTTAGACCGGCTGGCCGAATTTGCACTTAAATATGCTGCAACACCAACAGTCGGTCGAACACATTTACAACATGCCTCGTTTACTACAATTGGAAAAAGGGCTTCTCTATGGATTGATGGGCTTTTAAATGTTTTCCTAAGAGTAAATTTTAATTTAATTATTTAAACTTTTATTTATATTAAGGCAAAAGAATTTCGTTCTCGCATTCGTTTTCGAGGTGTGAAAGGCGCTGTTGGGACACAAGATGCCCTCCTACAGCTTTTTGGTGGCGACTCTTCTAAAGTAGTTAAACTTGACTCTACCTTAGCCAAAAAGGCTGGATTTGATAAAAATTTTGAAATATGTGGTCAAACATATCCACGTTGGCAGGTTCCTTTACAATTCAATTTTATATTTTAATTTTAAATAAAAGGACTCTGAACTTGTTTTTGTCCTTGCTACACTCGGGTCTGCTGCTCATAAAATTGCCCTAGATATTCGATTTCTTCAATCAGAAGGAGAAATATGTGAACCATTTGATCAAGATCAAGTAGGGAGTTCTGCTATGCCTTACAAGAAAA